CTGGTCATATCGGAGCCTTCGGGGTCCCAGACTAGTCTCCCCATGCAGGCATCTCTGTGTCTCAGCTCCGGGACCAGGAAGGAAAGCAATGATTTGGTCCTGAATAAAAGCGCGAAGCCGTCACCTATGTCGCAAGCATGGTGCTCAGCTCGCCAGGGGCTCAGCAGTGCTGGTACCACTCCTAGGCCCGCAGGATGGTCTGATCTCAGGCCAGAGAGCAGATCGAGGACATGCCGAAGCGCCCTGCTCCTTACATGCTTACACCCTCAGCAGTACATCTAACTTTAATCTCCCAGATGCAGCACCTCTGTGGCCGACCCCACCCCCTTCCTGGGGCAAGAACCGCCTCCCAGGCTCAGCTGCCGTCCTGTCTCTCAAGGCCAAAAACACATCTGTGCTTAGGGAACCATTCACTTCCCTTATTTCTTCTTCCTCATTTTCAATTCCTCTCTAATTATTCTCGATATTCTAGATGTCAAATATATATAATACTTATAAAGAATCTTTTACTTTGGTTTCATCTTCCCAGTTTTCCCCAACCAGACTCTCCCACTGAGGGCACTGGGACCAGCTCAGCCTGGCAACCCCGCTGCCTGGCAACCGGGCTTCTCAGCACATCGGCGTGAGCGGGACAACTGTGTGTTTGCATCATACGTGGTGACCGCTGCCCTCTCTCTCCTGGGCTCCTCACAGGGCTGAGCTCACCCCTCGGCCCAGACCCCCGTGAAAGCCAGCTGTGTCGTCCACAAGGAAGGACTCACACCATGCCATGAAGAGTATCTAACTCAGAATGGGTATGAGGTGGATCAATAGACTACTGGGTCATTCAGTTCCTTTCGACAAAGCACACAGGTTCTTGGTAACAAGTTCTGGGGCGCAGGAGCCACTGGGACAAAAATACAGTACATGTGCTTTCCTGCTTGCCACCCCGCCTCCACCCACTCCCCCCGCCGCCCCAGGGTCACACATGCAGACAGAAGGGCCGGACGCACGGAAGGATGTGGTGGATTTTGCACCTGCCTGGGCTTGACAGGTGTCTGAGTGAGAGCCAACGCCAGAGCAAGCATGACACTTCCTGCCATTTTAGACAAATCAAAAACAAGTCACCTTGTGTCGTTCGGAAGTTGGGGGGTTGGGGAGACACACTTTCCCTTCCTGAAACTGCCCAAGAGAGTAGATGGGTTGGCAGCACCTGCCCACAGGACTCGTGGAGTTGGGAGTGGAATGAAGTCTGGAACTCCTGCGGCAGGTAGGAGGTCAAAGCCAAGATTCTGGACAGATCTGTGAGGATGCAGAAGTCGCTAAGAAACCTGATAGAAGCCTGTGTGGAAAGAGAACAGTGGGCCAGGAGCAAAGGTCATCCGTCACAGAGGAATGAGGGGTCAGTGAGGAGCGCGAAGGGGACCGGTCTGCTGGGATGGGCCGCTAACGTGCTGAAAAGGACTGTACCTTCTGCATCTTCAGTTTTTACACAAACACGTTATTCAAACCTTATCAAATCAACTTCTCCAAATTTAACCTGTTTTTTAATGGCTGAATAATATTCTATGATGAGAATGAGCCCATGGCTTTTTGCCTGTTTTTAATCTTTCCCCCATTTGGAAAAAACGCAGGAATTTGATAACTAGGAGAATACTTTTCAATGAGGGCAGTTCTCTCCCCAAGGGGTGATCTATACGACGTATAAGGAGAAAGGAGGCAGAACAAAAGCCTCAACTGCTGTTTCTGACTGGGCCGGGACCTGAGGGACAGGGGAAGAGGCTACTTCTGAGAGTGTCCGGCCAAGTCCCCCAGCACGGGGAGCTCCTCCCGATTCTCACCGTCCGGCCTCCCTCTAACGCCCCCTACTGGCAGAACTTAACGAGAACCAAGCCACAGATAATTTAGTCCTAACCCCAGCGTCTGAGAGCTGGATACAGAGCTGACCCCAACAACTTCGAACCAATCCTGCCCTCCCCTTCCGATGCTCAGCATCCACATACCCGTCCCCACATCTGACCACCGTGAAGTAACAGCAGCACTGCCGGCTCTCACCCGACGAGATACAACTGTCCTACATACCAAGGAAGACACCCATGCTCGCCACCAAAAAGGAGGACAATGAGTGCAATGTTAATTACCCCCCAAGTCAAACAGTCCCCCTGAATATTTATCCTGCAACACAAGAAAACGCACATCGTTGCTAGTCCTCTAGAGCTCTCAAGGCCACACGCACAGCTGATGTCTGAAAACAACTTCCTAGTCCACGTTTTCCTTGCTCTCAGCCAACATCTCAGTTTTTTTTTGGGGGGGGGGTCACTTTTTTTTACCAGATGGAGTGACTCTAGATCATAACTAAAGTCTCAATCCTCAATGGCCTTATATTAAAGTTCTATTAAAGTTCACCTAGGGACATGGAAACAACCAGGAGGTACCCAGAGAATCCTCTGGGGTCCACAAATGACCTTCCCTGCGCCCGCCCCACTTCTCCTTGGTAACGAGCGCCAAGCATCCCAGCCAGGAAAGCAGGTCTCTTTACCTACTGCTTCAGTGGATGAAGACTCCACAAGGCTATCTCATCTTGTCCACTGGAACCTTGAGAGGGCTTTTCTCCTTGGGAACCAAAACTCCCAAACCAGCAAAAC